TTGTTCACACCACACAATGATTGTTTGCGAGATTCATTGTTCTGTAACTCTTAAGAAGGAATCTTATAGCACATTATCTGGTATTTGTTCACACCACACAGTGATTGTTTGGAAGATTCATTGTTCTGTAACTCTTGAGAAGGAATCTTGTAGCACATTATCTGGTATTTGTTCACACCACACAGTGATTGTTAGGGAGTTTCATTGTTCTGTAACTCTCGAGAATGCATCTTATAGCACATTATCTGGTATTTGTTCACACCACACAGTGATTGTTTGGGAGATTCATTGTTCTTTAGCTCTTGAATGCCAGCTACTCATGATGAGTGATTGCTCTTCCTGAGAATCACCACCACGAAACAATAAGCTATATTAACTGTTATTAATGTTCAATTATGACATATTAATCTTTTCACCCCGCTGACTTAGTAAAAATAAAACCAAGCTCCTATACTTTCCATTTCTCATAGGTTCCCTGAAGAAAAATACACCTTAGAAAAACATTGCACACAATCAATTTATCATCCAGAACATGAACAGATACAATACATAGTTAATAAAAATTGATGCAGCATAGAATGAACATCTCTTGGGCTTGTAAACTAATTATACGGGGACACTTACTTGACCCTGCAACCCGTTTACCAGTAACCACTGAAGGCAATGGGAAATATGATGTAGAAATTTCTATCAATAAAGCTATTTTTAGTAAATTTAGTAATTCCTTATCATGCTGAACATTTGTGCAGGCGCATATTCAAGAAATTCTGTTAAATGTCACATAAACATGACTCTATAGCGAGTCAGAAAAGCAGCTTTTACAGGGAAATGGTACTAACCAGAAATGTCAGTTTTATTGCTTCTCGGGACAAAAGCGTTGACAAATGGTGGCATTCCATGGACAGATCTCTCCTCTTCTTTCATTCGCCTGCACAGTATTTTCTTTGTGCCTGTAAATGGCATCCTGATTGTTGTGATGGGCCTTATATCTGTGTGCCTTCAACTTCAGCACCTTCTTTTTCTAGGGTAGTCTATGATCATAGCTGGGGCTTATTGAGAAAATGTCAGATAACAGAGAGGTAAACTGTTTACACAAAGGCAGACCAAGAAGACGATGGAAAGATAATAACCAGACATACCTACTGACACTTGGTGTCACCAACTGGAAAGAGAGGGCCAACCAGAGACATTAATTGAGGCGGATGGTGTTGGCAACAATGAACTTCAAGGGCTCAGAATGCTGAAGAAGAAGAAGGCTATGATTGTACTAAAGGCGTAGTCTGGTTTTACAGTCTCAGATACTTTCCACTCCCCCTTCTTTTGGTTTAAGTAGCTGCACTAAGAAAAGCTAGATAAGAACTTTTGCTGTCAGAGATGATGAATGCACCAGCCTTAGGGGTATTTGGTGAGGGCTGAAAACTCTTCCTCAACCCCCATCCCTCAGCAATGACAGCAGTTTGGAACTGAAACATCCTCAGATGTATTATATGGTTGGTACCCTTCCGTCTTTTGAGATAATAGTGGTCCATTGGGCAATAGAGAGCTGTGGGAATCACAGCCCATGAAATTGACGGGTATATTCTTATTTGGCCAGAACATTCACAGGATAGATAATTATTTTGAAAAATCTGTAGTGTATGTGTAGTTTCTGCTGTCATTATCCAACACTCATTGTTGTGTAATCCTTAAACACTGCTTTTGTATACAATCATGTGTTTGTTAGTGACTCCATCTCTGTTGTTATCCTGTTATTCTTTTTATCACTCATTCTACCTCCACAAAGTTGTTGAATCGATCCACATGTAATCCATTGAAGAACTTAAACTCTTTCAATAAATACCAAACACCTTACTATGTATTTCTCAGTCATTCCAAATATTATCTAATTTTCTTGCCGTCTTCTGCCACACAAAGTTGTTATTATTAACCCTTTAAATCAGAACTATTAGTTTAACTACTTCAGTCCCACACTGTCTTTGTTGAACGTCACATCTAAGTATTTATTGCTTGTAAACTCAACTCTTTGGGATAGAAGGGGCTAAAATAACAATTAATTAGAACTGAAATAGTTATTTCACAATCCTATACATTTGACACTTTAACCCATTATGTTTCTTGTAATAGATCACCCTGATTTATATTAACATTCAGCACATTCATATAAATTCAGATATTCAGGTTACTTCAACATATGCATTTTACTTCAACATATTCACATTACTTTAACATATTCACATTACTTCAACATAGTCACGTTACTTTAACATATTCACATTACTTCAAGATATTCACTTTACTTTAACATATTCATGTTACTTCAACATATTCACATTACTTCAACATATTCACATTACTTTAACATAGTCACGTTACTTTAACATATTCACGTTACTTTAACATAGTCACGTTGCTTTAACATATTCGCTTTACTTTAACATATTCACTTTACTTCAACATATTCATGTTACTTCAACATATTCACGTTACTTTAACATACATATTCACGTTACTTTAACATATTCACATTACTTTAACATATTCACATTACTTCAACATATTCACTTTACTTCAGCATATTCACATTAATTTTTAAAATTCGTTTAAATTTAATTTTCCCTGTATGGGTTCTGGGACTCCATTTTTGGGAAAACAAGAATAAGCCCACTGCCTCCCCAACAAGTATGTCGTAGGAGTTGACTAATTGGGAACTTTCTTTAAAAACGGAGTCATCTGTCCAAGCAGCAAGAAACAACCAGCTGTACACAAGTAAAACAGAGCCAAAGTCCAACTGATGAACCACCAGAACTTTCCGCCGGAGCTTACAACCGGTGAACAATGCAAGAAGAAGAGACTTTCATTCTCAACACATTCACATTAATTCAATATATTCACAATAAGTTAATTCTGCATTTCACATTAATTTAGTAAATTCACATTAATACCACATATTCACTTTAATTCAGTATATTCAAATTAATTCAGTCTGTTCATATTAATTCAAAATATACACTTTAGTTGTTACTGTTTATGTACACTGGCTGTAAACCCTGGCAAAAAGTCTGAGTTTTGTATGTGCATCTGTTTGACAAGTCTGGCTTATTTGAATGCAGACTGTTGGTTCCTTGCCTCTCAAACAGATAAACTCCAGCTTGGAAGGAAACACCCATAATTAGTCGCCTCCTGTGACATACTTGTTGGTGGGCAATGAGGCTGTTCTTATTCCCCTGGAATGAGACCTGGGACCCATGAGGGGAGCACTTTAATTCATGTTAATCAGCATATTTTCATTAATTCAGAACTTGTCCATTAATTTAACATATTCACATTCACCAGCATTTTGTCATTATTTCAAAATGCTCTCAAAATAATTCAGCATGTTCTCAATCAACAATGATTGTTTGACAAAAGCTGATAAAAGTTTATCTCTGTGTACAACAAAAGAAGAAGACAAACACTGTTCTTTGGCCACGTAATGAGAAGAGAGGCATTGGAAAACATTGTGACAACCGGAAAGATCAGTGGAAGGAGGGGTAGAGGCAGACCAAGAGAGATGATGCTGGATGGGCTGAAATAATGACATGGAGGGATATCATCAAGAGAGCTGTTCCAGTTAACCAGGAATTGTAATCTGTGGAGATACATAAGTACCTATGCCTGTTGGCAGGGCACATGATGATGATGGTGTTCTCATTCTTGGACATGCAGATTTGACAAGTTATGACTTGGAGCACAGTTGTATGCATGCTTAAAGAGTTAACCATCTGTGTGTGTTCTCTTTGGTTACATTGTGAAGTATATTTACTAGGTGACTTTTGCTGTGCTGACATAGTGGGTAGTGTGTGGGTTTAACTGTTTGTGGGTCGAGGATAAATCCCCTACTTGAGAAGAGATATGTTTGCAACTGCATGTAACCTCATACACTAGCCCCAATGCATAGCAGAGAAGAAGGGATTGAATCACCTCATCTCAGAATGCAGTAACCTTTTGGAGTCTTGTCACATCATACACCTAACAGTTGCAGTGTAAAATAGGTCTGTTTGTTACTGGGACCCAGGAGGAAAACAAAGATAAAGAATGAAGGCATTGTGACCATGCATGACATAAGAGGCAACAAGGGAGACTAGCTATTTCATCTTGTAGAAAACTTTAGGGAGAAAGAGAGCTGACCACCCAATCTCAGCCTAGCATTCAGTACCCCAGTAGAAGTTTCTCCCATGGCGTAACTTTTACCCTTACTCTTTCTTCCACATTTGCCCATAAAATGTTGGTTGCATGTTGCATTGTGGTTTACAATCTCAGCCTAGCATTCAGTACCCCAGTAGAAGTTTCTCCTAAGGCGTAACTTTTACCCTTACTCTTTCTTCTACATTTGCCCATAAAACATTGGTTGCATGTTGCATCATTGTGGTTTACAGCTAGGCTGTAATATCTGCACCCATTTGCACAACACATCCAATTTCAGCAACCTCCTAATTTGTCTTTTTTTACATGTTTATTAGGTTGGCAGTTCTTTCCCTGAAAACAATGGGACTTCAGAATCCATTTGGCGACCTACTTTTTCAATTGGCATGGCATTTGATTAACCTTTTGCTTCTTTTGGCATTTTTTATCCATGGCATTATGTAAATATGTATTGCTTGTGAAGTACTTTTCAAATATATCAAACTGGACATGTCAAAGGATAAAGAAGAAAGGGTAGAAATGAGTTTTAGAATCCTGGTACTACAGGTTGGCATTGAGGTTGGCACTGACAGCCCCATCTTTGTAAAACATGATTTTGTCAGAAAACAGACAAGATAAAAGGAGGCAGATGAAATCCTCAGTAATGAACCCCAAGGGTTCAGAATTCTGAAGGAGAAGACAAATGCGAATCAAGTATTTTCAATAAGAATTATCCTTTATATGTATGACAGTACATTTTTTGTATCCTGACACTTTTAATAACATTACGATTTCCTTTACTTGTTAATAATGTATGTTTGATATGAAATCTGTTGCAGATGGGATCAAACGGTCTTCCAGTATTTGTTCACTACAGCGAGCAGGACAGAGGGAGCAGTGTCATCAGCTACCTGGTCAGCAAGGGTGCCAACATTAATGCGATGGATGCTCGCTGTCAGACACCTCTTCACATTGCTGCCATCAGGGGGAATGAGGTGGCTTGTAAAGATCTGGTATCTTTCAGGAACAGAATCAAAATTGATGTAAGAAGATAGCACGTGTAATAGGCTCATTCTGACTGATTTGTATGTGATTTGTATGTGTGTGTAGAAGATTGTTCATGTAACGGGCTGATTCTGACTGATTTAAATGTGTGTGTAGACATTTTATTTGCGCATATGTTACTACTGCCCTTTATGTGTGTGCATGCATGCGACAGTGAGTGTGAGAGGCAAAGAAAACCTGAATACATACTAGTTGTACAAGTATAGGAAAATTCTAGTTCACGTAATGCCACCCCCCCCCCCCCCCCCCATCCCAAGTACTATTCAGAATATTCTTTGTATATATGAAATGAAATAATTCCATACTTGTTTTTAATTGAACACTTCTAATGAGGTGTAATTATGTGCATTTTTTTTTACATAAGTGAGCTTGAAGATTTTGCTGGAACTGGCATGTTTTTAAGATGGGGCTGTGAAGATTGTGTGATTTCTACTGGCGTAGGAATGGAGCAGTTGTGAGGGTACCCCTCTTCAATGACGTTGGAATCTCTATTAACTAACATGGGAATTCTTAGTTTGGCTGCTTCAGTCCTTCAGTGTTTGAATTTTAACTTCTTTGACTCAGTATTTTAGATGTAGACTATCTGCTCTTTGAGAGATGCTAGATGCTCCTTAACTTCTCATTGCCATTTAAAGCCTTATGGTCTTACAAAATCACATGAAACAGAAACTTTTCTTCAGATACCACACCTCTGTATACATTAAGTACTTGTTTATAATCACAGTTTAAAATCCCAACAGCTATTTTCCATGACTGTATAATTTAGCCCATTCTCCCCCTGAGAGTGTTTACTTCAAATGATAGGTATTTCTTCTTTCGTTCGCATGAAATATAATAGGTATTTGAGACAGATTGACTTGAAATAAAAGACTGAGAAAGCTTGGCATAAAATATTATTTGGGTCAGAATAGATTAAAGTAGTAACTGGGTGTGGCATGAAGATTTCAGAGAAAAGTTTAATTAACTATGTGTGGCAAAAAGATTTTTGAGAAATGTGTAATTAATTGGGTGTGGCATGAAGATTTCAGAGAAATATGTAATTAACTGGGTGTGGCATGAAGATTTCAGAGAAATGTTTAATTAACTAGGTGTGGCATAAAGATTTTAGAGAAATGTTTAATTAACTAGGTGTGGCATGAAGATTTCAGAGAAATGTCTAATTAACTGTGTGTGGCATGAAGACTTCAGAGAAATGTGTAATTTAAGTACAGTGTAACATACACGTGGTGAGTAATTTGGTAGTGAATTCGTTAAAACTTCTTTGTGTTCAGACAGTCTGCTGAACACCTAGCTGTAACAGTTTATGTAATAACTTTACCTATCATTTCCCAGGCAACTGATCATCAAGGCATCACTCCACTGCATGCAGCAGCTATTTACAACCATGAGGAGGTGGCCTATATACTGATTGAGGCTGGTGCCAATCTGACATGCAGAGACAAGGAGCTGTGCACACCGCTGCACCATGCGGCCATGGAGGGGAATCTGGACTTGGTGCACATGTTGTTTGAGGCAGCAGCCAGGAACAGAGATGCTTGGACTGCATCTGAGGTAAAGGATGGGATTCACTGGTATATCACTTGTGTAACTTGTTACATCAGTTCATGTTGGGGTGAATGAACTTTTTTCTACACATCTGATCAGTCATTCAGGTGCTACAGCAAAGGTTGGCTGCAATGGATCTCCAACAAACTGTATCTTTTGCCCTGACTGTACACTCTCTCAGACTGCTGTTCATCCATCTTTTGATTTTATCCTCCCATTTGTATAGCTGTCTGCCTCTTGCTCACTTGTCTTCAGCTTTTCCATCTAGTATTGTTTTTAAAACACTCTTTAAATACTTCACTTATTTTCAATTTCTTTTTCATTCGGTGACACTCTTCACACAGCTTGTTGCCAACATCAGAAAGGCTAAAATTGTGGTCTCTTCCCTGTACACCTCCCTCATGCACTTTCAAGCACCAGATTGTCCACAGTTTTGTGGATGCATACTTGTTCTGGTCAACCATTGCCTCTTCTTCCAGAAGCCACTCCACCTTTTTGTTCAAGTTTATTCTCTCAATTTCACAAGAAAGGTGAAAAGGTGTTAGCAAATAAATTGATAAATAATGGAGTTTACATGATGAAGTACCCATTGGTGGTTTCAGGTTCCTCATTTTTTTTTATTTGGGGGGGGGGGGGGGGGGGATTGGACAAATAGATCCACTGCTCCCTTACAAGCATGTCATAAAAGGCAACTAATTAGGGGTTTGGTGCAATTAGATGTGTAGCGCTTCCTCCTCTTCTTCACCAGCTGTAAACTCTGGCAGAAAGTTCTATTTGTCAAACTGTTGGTTCCTTGCCTCTCAAGCACATGCACTCTCTTTAAAGGAAAAACCCCTAATTAGTAGACTATTGCAACGTGCTTGTTGGGGGGGGGGGGGCAATGGGTCTATTCTTTTCCGCCACACAAAATGGGTCCCTGATCCAACACGAAGAGGATATCTTGACCTTTCATGCATATATTGCAGCCTAGCTATAAACCATAACACAAGGTATGTACCAACCAACCGCCCTTTAAACTCTTTCAGTCCCGTGTAGTTGTTAAACTTTGTTCTTCTTGTTCTTTGCATTGACCAACTGTACACTCAAGTGGAAAATTCTGGTTATTTGTCCATTCCTAGAATTTGAGTTTTTTTTTCAAAACTTGAGTTTTTCGTGCATATCCATTTTACCGATATGATTTAGTTGTATACTGTTAGTTCCTGGTCTCTAAGGTAACACTACTAATTTAATTTCCTTCTACAACATGCTTGGGGCAGTGGGTCTATTCTTTGTTATGCAATCTTGATGTACTGATGCTTGGTATCCACTCATACACATTTGTCTTTTTTTTAACCTTCTGCAGTACTGACTGAGAACCAGACACTGCAATTCCTCTGCTAACTCTGTTTTCTGCTATCCACTGCATTCATTGCCTCTACCTCCATCCTCATGCTTGAAGTTGTAGATTAAAAAAAAAAAAATAACTTCGTTCTGCCAGGATTTTTCTCTTTATTGTAGCTGAAAATTTCCAACCAGATCTTTCACCCCAATAATATGAACCATCATGTAGCCCAGCATTTTCATCTGTCAGTTGTACTTCTAATTCTGCCCTACCATTACAACACTCTACATTCTCTTTCTAATGTGATAATGACATGATGGAAACTGCTGTTGCAGGTATTCATATCAACCCATTCCTGCCCCCTGTGTATTTGCTTGACTGAGGCCGCCGTCTCGATGGTATCTTCAGCTAGTGTTATCCATGACTTTCTTCTTTTTTAACCGGTCTCCTCTCAGATCTTTCAGATTACCATGCAGCTGATGCCTTTCATATTTGGTAACTTGCATATAGGCCTTGGCTTGCATAGGTGACAATCTAGACTTTACCGATGTCAGCCCAAACATATATCTTATAGTTTTAATTGGTGTATCTCGTGTACAACCCAATACAATTCTTATTCCTTTATTTTGAATTTGTTTTAGCTTTGTACACTGTGAAGTAGATTTGGTTAAAATTCCTATGCCATAATCAGTTACTGAAAGGATCAGATTGTTGAACAATAAAACCAATAGTCTCTGTTCCATGTGTATCACCATCTTCGTCTTCAATGCTGCCAGGCCACGCTTGCATTTGATCATAGTCTGCTCCAAGTGATGTTTGTAGAACAGAATCCAATAAGTTGTCAAACCCAAGTATTTTAACCTGTCCATTATTTCTCTCTCTGTGGGTGGAAAGTGTTGGTTGGGGAGGGGGGGGGGGTTGAAGAAGAGACATGAGATAAAGAATAAAATTGAGTGTATGTCTTTGACAGTGCTATGGGATCATACTTAGCAGCCCTGCCAGACAGTTATTGACAGGTACAGTTATGCAAGACAGTCTTAGTCAGTTCTGTGAAACAATCTTTTGAAAATTCTATGGGACATTCTTTTCAAAGTTCTATAGGACAATCGTGATTGGTTCTGTGTGACAGATCTAGAATATTTTGTGGTAGAGCTTGTGTCATTTCTCTGAAACACTTTGGACAGTTCTCTGAAACAGTCCTTGTCAGTTCTGTTAGACAGACAGTCTTAGAAAGTTCTTTAGGACAACCTTTACAGTTTGATAAACCTCTGCTGGTAAGTTCAGTGCCTTTGACTATTCTGTGAAATAGTCATTGATATTTTAAAAAATACATCTGACTTTGACAGTTCTCTAAGAATGTCAAGGAAAAGATTTGGAGTCAGACTTTGACAGTTATTTGAATCCATTTTTGATAGTTTTATGGTACTGTCTTTGACAGTTCTCTAAGACAGTCTAGGTGTAATTATGGGAATTCCTGGGGAACCCCAGAGAGTTTCTCAATTGAGGAGACAAGGTCAGTAGGCCAGGAAAACAAGGGACACTTGGAAAAGGCATGTTTAGAATATCCTGTGTTCTGTGAACAGTTGTAAGGGAAAAATGTGAGATTGGAACAGAGAGACGATGTAGAGTCAGTTGTGTTTTGACCGTGTGAGAGGCAGGTTGCTTGATGTTGTGACTGAGGTGCATGTCAGTTGTGAACTGAAGGAACGCAGCTTTTGAAAGCAAGGAATTTCTGAAGAGAATTGATTGGGAATTGCACCGTCTAGTGTCAGGAAAACATTTATGTGATCCAGATGCCAGTACCCGAGTGGAACATTCAGACTGGCAGGTAATTGTGCCTATTGTCTAGGTGTCATCCTGTCGTGGCTGTCGGTCGTGAGCGATTGTCAGAGACCAGAGAGAACCTAGGACATTGACTGAATAACCTAATTGTTGTACCACAATAAACTGTATCAATGTCATCATCGTGTTTGGACTATACTGTCAGGTCTCCAGACTTTACAGCATAATTGCGGCACATATAAAGTTCACATAGTAGAATGAGCCAGAGAGTGACATTATCACACTAGGAAAAGATTTGGAGTCAGTCTTTGACAGCCTTTTAAATCAGTTTTTGATAGTGTTATGGTACTGTCTTTGACAGTTCTCTAAGACAGTCTAGGAAAAGATTTGAAGTCAGTTTTTTATAGTTTTATGGTACAGTCTTTGACAGTTTGATGGTGCAGTTTTTGATAGTTTTATGGTACATTCTTTGAAGTTATTTGAATATGTTTTTGACAGATGCAAATTCCTTATTTTTTTTTTTTCATTTTTTTTCAGTTGGTCAGTGCAGTTGATATAGAATCCAACACCCCGTTACATCTTGCAGTGGAAAATGGACATTATGAAGTCACTAAATTTCTATTGGAAAAACGTAAGCACTTTGTATACTCATAGCATTTTCTGTGCATATTTGTTCTTTAATCTTTAGAAAGCTACCCTTATTCTTTAACAGTGGAGAATGTTGGGTGAGAAGCAACAATGAAACTATTAATCTGTTTGAAAAACTACTCATTACTGGAATCATTAGTGCTAACAGTCTGCTATGGTTGGGACATATAAAGATAATGCCAGATAACACAGAGTGACAGAAACTGAATGCACACAAGGGTTGAACGGTCGTAGACCACGAGGCAGACCAGGAAGTTCATGGAGAGATAATAGGTAGAAATACCATGTCTAGGCAGACCTACAAATACTGAGTCACCAACTGGAAAGAGATGGCCAGTCACATAGATGAATGGAGGCAGGTGATTTCTGCAGCAGCGAACCTAAAGGACGGAGTGCTCAAGAAGAATACATTTATTGTTCAGCTCTTATCAAAACCTTTAAAGAACAAATTAGCTATAATACTTGCTTATGGAGGTGAGGAAAAGACTGCTGGCATTGGACATTACACACATTGAGAAAATTTTATAACATTAAAACTGGAGTGTTCTTGCAGTGGAACCCACATGGTCAAAGGAATCAAGAGAAACCAAAAATCACATGAAAAGTGGAACAAGATAGGGAATACCTGGGGCAAGCTGCACATGAAAGCAAAGGATAGGATGAACAACTAGCCACCAGTTGGTTGAGGCCATTTGCTCCATTGGGACATTAAAGGCAGGTGAAGAATTAGTAGTCATTTGTAAAAATAATAGGATTTTAAATTAACATTATAATATTGTGCCATGTCCACAGGGAAGGTTGGCTGTAAGGTATCTATTGCTAATTATAGAAATATCACGTGATGAGTTCCCAGTATTGTCCACATTGCAACTGTCATAGCACTATCTGAAAGCCATGAGAATGATCTTTTTCTGAAGTGCCCACAGTGGGAAATAAACCTTGCTAAACATAGAGGATTGCATTGTGAAATGATTTCATTCAGCAGTAAGCCACAGAACCGCACTAGTGATGGGATTATAGTGAAAAGATACCAAGCCAAGCGAAAAGTAGAACTAGTCAGCTTCACATTAAAACAGTCACACAAATGACAAGTGAACATTGTGGCTAGAAAGCCTTCTTCAGCACATCACATAAATAGATAATGTTACGTTTACAAACAAGAATAGACAAAAATCCCTTAACAGAGAAATCCACATGTTTGTCTGATCAGTTAAAGCTCTTGTAAAGATAGAATTGCTTTAAGTAAAGTTAATCTTTTTCTTCTTCTCTAGTACTCTTCTGCCTTTCAGTGCCAGGTTTTTAAGAGCCTTTGGGTGAACTATGGTGTGTGCTAAATAGATGCTGGTATTCACAGTCTTGGATATTCCATTTATCCATCACTTGTGTAAACAACCTCTAACTCTCCTTCTGCTGTGTCTGAGTTACTAGGCTTTCTCAGATGCACTATCTTGTGGTAGCATTGATAGATGTCTGAACTATTTAAACTGTTGTCTCTTGATGTAGTTTACTGCTGGTTCTGTGCCAGGCTGTTTCCTGATATCGTCATTTCTCATTCTGTCTCTTATTATATTTCTTTTCTGTTGTTATAGTTTAGTATTGGTTATAGTTACCTGTCAACAGTGGCTGTTTCAGACTCTGATGTGAACAGACCCCGTACACACTTCATCTACCCCCTGCATTTAGCAGTGCAGTCAGGAGATGTGCGGATCGTTCAGCTGCTGGCGGAGCACCATGCCCGTATCGATGCAGTCAATGATGATCTTACAACAGCTCTCCATAAAGCTGCTGTGCTGAACAATCCAGAGGTGGCCAAGATTTTGATTGAGAGGTCTGTGCTGGCATTTGTTTATTGTAACTGTTCTGTCTAGCTGCTTTTTTCCTGTTTCTTGCTTTCTTCTTTTTTTTCTTCTTTTAAAAAAAAAATTAAATTCTTTCTTTCATTGCAGGAAGTAAACGTTTTGAAGGAGTCTGTACGCCTGGCGCCGACTCTTTCGCTAACTAGATGTTCCAGTCTTTCCCTTCCTTCTTTCTGTATTTTTTAAATTTAACACAAAATTTGCATTCAAACAGTTGCTTGAAGAAGCTGGTGGTTTTATGGGTGCTTGTGCAGTCATTTAGAGGGGTGAATACCTGTAAAGATGTCTTGAAGGGATATTTGTGCAGTCTTTTGAGAAAGAGATGCTTGTATATTATTTTATAAAGGACTTGTACAACCTTTCACACGCTGGTGTTTTACACAATTTTATAAAGGTCTTGAACCATCTTTTACAAATTGGTGTTATGCAATCTTTTTACCTCAGAGGGTTTTTTATAATATTTTACAAGGGCCTTTTGCAGTTATTTTCTGAGCTTGAAGCTTGTACAGTCTTTCACAGGTCTTTGTGCAATGATCAAGAGTGGTGAATATGTGTAAAATATTTTTAATTTACTTTAGTATAATAATTTAATGGAAAAGTACTTGTAAAATGTCTCTCCTGCAGACCCAAAGGTCTTTGGTTGAGATTTGCATGGAGTCAGATGTTTTTCCCCCCCAGAATTGTCCTTGGACCCAGGTTGACGCAACCTTATATTGATACCAGGCAGTGTCCTAGGAAGTAAAAGTGGCTAATGGGATGTTGACCACATCACCCATTGAGTAGTAAAGTAAAGTAAAGATCCCTTTAAACGCCCTTAGGCGCATCGGGCATATGGGAAGAGCACCCATATTTTTACAGACCAATCAGCACTCGGTGGGTAATGTGGTCAGCATTACGCCGACCGTCTTTACTTTCCCAGGACAGCCCATCCTGGTACCCATTTGAGGCTGGGTCGACCTGCGACGTTCCATACCACGATAAAAATCCACGCAGCCCGCAGTGGGTTTCGATCGCGGTACGTTGGATTGTGAGTCAGACTCGCAACGCCTTAGCCACGGACGCCGTACCGATTGAGTGCCAAATGAAAATACAATTCTAGCATCTGATACCTGATTTGCCACTGATGTAAAAAAGAGTCCTTGTTCAATCTTTGACAAGCTGAAGACCCAGTCTAAGCAGTGAAAACAGGGATGACTGCAGTCAAGCTAATACTGAGAAAAATAATCCAGTGAACTGTGACTGAAAAGCTTAAGGGGGAAGGGGAACAATGTACATAATTTGTACCCCATGTACACACGTTGTACCCCATGTATACACATTTTGTAAATGTTCTACACCTTCCTCCTTTCGTTAAGCTTTTCAGTCACAGTTCATTGGATTGCTTTCTCTTGCATCAAAGAAACAGACCATTATATTTATATTACCTACTGGAAAACAAACTCTACAGCAGTATGTATAAGAAATTCAGGATTGGAGATTCAGAACTTTGCCCATGTAAACAGGCACCACAGAAAAGTGAACATGTGCTAGAAATATGCTCTCCACACGCAGTAGAGAGACATGTGTCGCACCACAGGCGTCATAGAAGCCTTGGTCTTCTAATCTAGAAAACAGCGGGGTGAATGAAAAGAAGAAGACAAGTTAGTGGAGACAAAAATGAACAGATTTACAGGACATCAGGAGCCTCTTCTTGCAGCGGTGAAACGTCGCAAACTAGCTTGGTTCAGGCACACAGTGAGACATGATTCAATTGAAAGGAACATTGGGGGAGCAGTCAAAGACTGTGGAGGAAAAAGGGTGGGGGGGGGGGGTGGGGGGGGTGTGCAAAGAAGAACCTGGAATGACAACATCAAGAATAGACAGACACAGAATTGACAGAATTACTAGACACTTGTTAAACAAGTAAAACAAAGAGAAAGATGGCAGGTTTTATGTGCTAGTACTTCAGTTGATACACCTCCACAACCCTAATGGGTCAAGGGTAATGTTGTTACATAATCTTTTACAGAGGTCTTGTGCTGTCTTTTTCTCCCAGGGGAGCTTGTATAAACTGCAAGGACAGAGATAACTGCACACCACTACTGCTGACGGCTCGCTATGGCAATGTGGACATGGCAGAGTTGCTGCTGCAAATGGGAGCCGATTACACAGCAACCGACAAAAATGACAAGACCGCCATCTTTCTGGCTGCTGAGTTCAACCAGCTGGAAGTGTTATTAGTGAGATTATGTTTTCTTTCTGTGTTGTCAGAGTAATCAGTAAATAATCCTTATGAGGGTTTCCACAACCGGGGAGGGGGGTGGGGGGGGGGGGGGGAAAAGAGACATGCTGGATCCCTAATAAGCATGCCATAAAAGATTATTAGTTAGGTTTTTCTGAAATCATATATGTGGACCGAAAGGCGCCGATATCATAACCTAGCTATAAACCACAACATAATGTGTCAGCCACCCTTTTAAGAGCTAATGCACACAAAAAAAAGATCAGAGTAAATAATAATAATTTAAAATAATAATTTTTTTAAAAATAGTGTTATGAATGAATCAAGAACTGACATTGCAGGAAATTCCCATACATGCTCTATCCCCTTTTTTAGTAGCCAGTGAAGGGTTCCATACTAATGATCATTCATGCATGCATTCATTTATTCATTCATTCATTGTCCTTATGTGTGGGGGGGGGGGCGTGTTAGCGCAGTCGATAGGAAACTCAATTTCAAATCCAGCTGCTACTCGCTGCAGCCCACGATCAGTGTTCAAAACCGGGCGGTTACCGAAGTTCACCCAGCCTCTAGGTAATGGGCACCAGAGTTAACACTCTGGGGTAATTGGAGGAACGTCGCTGTAGCTACAGAATTGCGTGCGGACGGCAAAACAGGCGGAAAGTTTCTTATCAGCTGTCAGTACTGGTGGCAGAGCACTTACGGTTTATAACCCCATGCAGTGACGCTGGTTCACATCTCCCGACTTTACCTTTTTATCTTTAGTTATGTGTCACATATGGCTCACAGTCTATATCTCCATTCTGTTCTATCCTGTACAATCCCTTTATTATCATGGATGGGAACCAGTTCCAATACCTGCGGCTTGACTCATCAGTGTTCTCTTTAAGGTTTCTCTTGGAGGTCCTTGTTTTCTCAGTTCATGTGTTTCCTGTTTCACTGTCTGGTGAATCTGTGCTCGTCTGTTCTCAGGATGTGTCCAGTATAGTGCCATCTTCTCTGCATTGTAACTGTTGATACTAGTACTTGCCCAAACATTCCTCTTATGTTCATCACCTTCCTGAGGCATTTGTTTTTGTTTTATGACTTTAGTGGTTCTCCAACTTGCACTGGCATATGTTAAACTTGAAATAACACTGTAAATACATAACTTTGCTCTACAGCTGTTCAGTTTAAAGTTCCATATTTCCCATACTGATGATGTTAGTTTTAAAAAAGTTAGTTGCATATCCTTTACAGGACAATGCAGAACCAACCCCAGTAATTTCTGGCTGTTTTGGTTTTTCTAAGCAAATTTTTACGCTCAGTAGTTCATACTGATGACGGCAGAGTAATAATTTAAACAATTCATGATTTGGAAAGAATGTTGCAGCAGGAAGTACCTGGAGATCTTGTTGCCACTTATTACTCAGGGAAAAAGGCAAGGTAAACACAGTCAGACTCTTGATGGCACCATGTAAATTGGAACTCTGTTATGATGGCTGCTGAGGATGGGGACAGGCACTTATGGAATGTCCAGAGTAGTTTGATGCTGGTTCCTAAGTCAAGTCAAGTCAGCTCCCTGATGTCACAGTGTGGCATCTACATTATCATCACCACCTCGCAACATGTCAGTAAGCATGGGCAATATCCCTTTATCTTTCTAAAAGGCCCGGCTCGCTAGCATAGTTGGCTAAGCCTGACTTCGCGACGACCGGGTGAGGAACTCCTTGTGGTCCAGGTTCACACCCGGGGGTAGGCAGAAATGCCACATTTCTCCCAGATTTACGGTATCTATCATGGAATCAAGGCCGAAGGGTTGCGATATCCATTGTACCGAGCCAAAGGGTTAAGAACTCATGGTTTCTGGAGTTTAAAAAAAACTTTCTTAAAGATCCTGTATAGAGATACATCACAAATGGTGAAGTATCATCACACAGCACAGTGACAACTGGTAATCTATTTTAACAAATCTGAACAGACTGAAAATGCAATGGTACAGACATATGACAAGATCTACCGGTCTCTCCAGAAAATACTACGAAACTCTGTAGAGGAGAAGAGGCTGACCAAGAAAGACCTGGATACAGACTTTGAATGGACAGGCATCAGACATGCAACAAATCCAGTCCATTGCATCTAACCGACAGAGGTGGAAAGAACTAATCAGACAGTTATTGGCAGCTGGTGACCCGATGGCACATGTTGTTATGCGACTATGGTGATGAATATGACTAGTAAATGGTAAATTTTGGGATCAAGGTCCATTTTAAAAAATCCACCTCAGTATGGATTTGAACCCTAGGTGCTAGACTACTGCAGCTCCAGCCCAAACTATCCCAGACATTTATTTTTCTTCCTTTTTCTTTTGTATTAAATTTTCCAGTTGCAACTAGGTTTTAAATTTTTTTTTTTCACATTACATGTTCAAAAAATCTGGACAGTCTGTGTGTAGTTTTTCTGATCAATGTAGTTTTCATTATTTTCTTGTAGAACAGCCTCCTTTGGATTAAAAAAAATTTGCCTCTTTGGGTGCATAGGTGTTTATATATGTCAGATACTTGTAACTTCTGGTTGTGTTAATTTGAGTCTTGTTGGGATCTAAAATAGAAGTGGTTACCCCCCCCCCCCCCCCCCATGAAAACTGCCCTTACTGACTGTATTTACCACTTTTGTGGTGTAGGCAGGGGGCCTTTGAGCCTGAGGATTTAGGGCAGCATGCCGTTACCACAGACTGCAGGTGAAGCTTTTATTTGTGTATAGTTTTTACTAACGAATGTATCATTTCTTACAGAAGTTGCTGTCCTACCCTCAACTGAAATACATGATCAACGAAAGCAACTACTGTTACAGCGACCCTCTCCATGTTGCGGCTCATTATGGCTATCTGGCAATTGTACAGGTCTGTATCCAGTTTTCTTAAGTTATCCTGTATGTTTTATCCATTTTTAGTTGTTTGGTTGTTATAGGAGCCTCCATGGCCAAGTGGTCAAGACACTTCCCCATGCTCTGAAGGTCATGGGTTTGTTTCACGGAACACACCGTTAATTTCACGAGTGGATCATCATTCGGGGGACATTGCTGGAACTACGGATTCTGCTTTGTGCGATGCTCTCAGAAGGTGATTAGCCATTCTGTGGAGAGTCCCTACCATATGGGTTCCAGAACTGCATTGGAGGGAAAGGGGGGGGGGGGGGAGGCAAACATGGAAGCCAAGGTCAGTTCTGAACAAATCTAAATCAATGCAGATTTAAACCCAAGACTTTTAGGCCGGTAGGTGAGCATCCAGCCGCTGTGATACTGTAGCTCCATAAGCAAGATTCTTCTTCTTCTGCTCTTTATCCTCCACTGGAGCATAAGCCCTCAACCAACTCATACCGTCTTGTCCTAGCCTATGCTATCATATGAAGCTCAACCCCATTTCCTCTGCATTTTTTTAACTTCAACCTCTGATTCCCTTCTCTCTGTTATTTTTTGATTGCCTTTATTTAAATGTCTCTGTGGGTTCCAGTGTAAAGATGTTCTAGTTTGTATTGTTTTCTCATGTTTCCTATTTAACACCAGTATCTTTTCTTCACCTCTTGACTCATTAAATTTTTTTAGTTCTTTCCCAACATTCCACAGTATCTGACCATTTAATTCCCTCTATTCTGTGCAGGCACCAGCTAATGAATGTTTGTAGTTTATTAGAAATTGTTTTAGGTCTTTCTTCGTGTTTCAACTAGATACACTGATACTGATTTGACATTAGTTTTAAATATCTTGAGTTAGGACTAGTTTTCATTTCCTCTTATTTCCACAAATTTCCTAGTGCTGTGAAAACTCCTCTTGGCTTTTGTATTTGTATTTGTATATCTCTATCAGTTCTCCCCCTACAAGTTACTCACTCTGGCAAACTAAAAGATTGCTGAAGGTTGAGGTGCAGAGCCATGGATGTGGAAATCAAGGGGAGGCTACCACATTATATATCCTTAGAAACTCTAAACTGAAGCTGACATAGCTGCATTAGCTATGAAAGCACATAGGGCTGGAGAACTGGCTAAAGAATGATTTACTTTCGGGCGTGCCATGACAAGAGTGACATTCTGAAAAGGATTTGTTGATTGTTGCTGATCAGTTTGCCTGTCTTTATCTACATTTTGTGGGATTGGCGTGTAAATGAAAATCCTGCCACTACACTGGGGATTGCCACTACTGGGCCCTGAATATAGCCAGGCCATAAATATGGCCATGCCATAGATGTGGCCATAACGACTGAAAGGAGTTTCTGGGACCTTTTCACGGGTGATCCTCATCCGCATGGTGGCACTTTGTGTCATCGGGTGTTTATCATTTGTGTGATGTCCTGGTGGGGTACAACCAGACAGAGAGAGAGAGAGAGAGACCATTGTTTTTGGTAGATGAATATATTAATTACTCTGCTTCCAAAGAATCATGGTAGCACAGTAGCACAATGCTTGCAGTCCAGCCAAAGGTCTTGAATTAAAAACCACATTGGATGAAGGCTAACCGGGTCAACAAATGCCTGCAAAAGTCAGATGTGTTGGCCAAAAGGAGCAAATATTGCAGCCATGCTGCAAACGGGCACAATGCAGTTACATCTTTGGATAAGCACAGAAGAAAAGAAGAAGAATTTTTTTTTAAAACACATTGATCTTAGCTTCCATGTCGACCAGGTCTAAATGGGTACCTGGAAGTGTCCTGGAAAGTAAAATCAGCTGATTTGATGTTGACCCTATCATTTATCAAGTACCAACTGGTCGATTGTTCAGACATCATATGCCTGATGCGCACCACTGGTATGAACTGGAAACTGGATAAAGAAAACAAAAATTTCAAATTTGGTCCTCTTTCAACCCCCTGAAGGCCTGCTTTATTGAGGACGGTTTCTTTGCTATCTGATTTGTTTGTTTCCTTGCGGCGATCATTTTCGCCTAAGTTTGATTTCTTGCTGTATTGGCTTTAATTGGGAGTGGATGTTTTACTAGTCCTGGGGCGGCCTCGATCGGGTTTGGGTGGGAGTAAATCTGGTTGTTACTGGTATGAAAGGGATCCTTGACCTTTTATAGTGTGCTGACAAGGATACTGAAGCACACAGTATAGAAGTGTGAGTACATTTACTCATGAAACCATTAGTTTTTACAGTATTGACTCCAGCCTGGCGATTTGTTCACAGTGTCTCCTCAAGAATGGTGCAGATTTGGATTCCAAAAATGATGAGATGCAAACACCACTACACCTGGCTTCCAAGTTTGGCAGAACCAAGTAGGAGCTTCCTTCTGGAATTCTTGCATCTTTCTATTTCCTCTTTGAGCCTACAATGTGGAGCTAATATAGGGCTTTATGGTTTTATTCTCTGGACATAATCATAAACACTGCCTTGATCTTTATATTCTACTCTAGACTGAAGCACTGCTTACTGATCTCATGACTTGCACACTCTGACATTAATTTCACTGACTTATGAACCGACATCATAGCATGTGGGGCATTCCCATAGGCACTCCGTCCCTATCTTTAGCAGCAAGAGCAAAGCTCTACTTCTAATGGCACCAGTAACAAGTCTGATCGTATGTCCGTCTCGACCCTTCCCTGAGTGTTGAGTGTCGCCAGATCCCCTAGTAACTGCTCACAGCACCATTCTCTTCAGACCGTGTCGGTCAGTTTTGCCTCCACACTGTTTACTCATTCCCAAAGGCCCTTACAACATCTAGCTTGTCATGCATCAGTTTATCAAGTACTGTCACTGACATCAGAAAACGCTGAATACTGACAGTAAGAAGAGAGCCACAACGGTTCCCCCACATCTCGCACACCCATGGTGGAGAGCAATGAAAATTCTTGACTTGAGTGTGTTTGCCTGCCTAGAGTGAGCCAAGGAACCACCAGTCCTAACTTTCATCAATCTGTATGGGAGTGAATAGCTTGATATGATGGGAATCACAAGATGATCAAGGAAAGTCATCAGTCAATTCACGCTCATCACCTTGTGAGTTCTTTGACCCCACTTTGGGGAGAAAGGAATAGACCACCTGCACCTTAGAAAGCATGTTGTAACTATCCTTGTCAGGGTGAACGAAAAAGAAGTAAAATTGACATAGTGAGAAAAATACAGAGGTAAAGCAAAGAGGTAGAGATTTATGGATAAACCAAGCAAATGTGAAAGCTTTCTGCTTCCCAATGGCAGCAGTGTATCACTGGATGAACAGGCAAGGCTAATACATGCTGTAAGAATATGTCAGTATCTGTGAGCACCAATGACAGATAAAACATGTAACAAAGGTGTATTTAAAGAAGTAAACTTACAAGTACAATATACAAAGTGAACAGAGCCCGTTCCTGAGATCTCTTCCTGCCCTGATGCTGGGAGGCGTTCTAGGAGTAGAGAACAGAAGAAAAAGAGACTTACATGGAGAACTACCGGCATTATAGGATGACAGTCCACATTGTTTTGTCATGAGGCGAGAAGGGTTCAACTGGAGTATGTCTTGACATCAGGAAAGTTGGAGGGGAAAAGAGGCAGTAGAGCCTAAAAGAGAGGATGTTGGCATCATGGTGAGAAGGCCATCTGTATTAGAAATGATTAATAGTACACAAAACAGAAGGTTGTGGAAATGCATGTTGACCAAACACAGCATGGGCTAGAATAATAAGATGAATTGATCTTATTTTTCTAATCTCATCATCTTCATTATCATCATGTGCTATGCTGATTAGCACTAGGCTTTACCCAGTCATGTTAGTTTTGGAGATTCATCATTAATTCCTAGCCTAATCCATACACTATTGATAATTTCAGCTTTGCCCATATTTCTTCTTCTTTTTTTCAATTTGTGACCCTTAAACTCTTTCAGGAAATTTTTCTGGGGTTTGTACAGCATTAGTTTGTTTTTTTTTTGTTTTTTTTTTTTAACTGCAACATGACAAAGCTAGAACCTTCCTGGAGAAAAAGTATTGACTGTATAGAGTCATATAATTTATCAAAGTAAAGAAAAGTGAATGCAGAATAAATTAAAATATTTAAATATTAGTACTACAAAAACAAAATTATTAAACATTCAAGGATGTTAGACACATATTAAGATTTTTAACACATAAAATGTTGTGCTTACCTTACTTTTTACTTGTTCTTCTTCTTCTTCTTCTTGTTCACCGGCTGTGAATTCCGGCGGTAAGTCGCGGTTGTTCGTCCAAAATGGACTTTTGGCTTTTACCTTGACCTGAGTTTTGCGTGTACATCCGTTTTACTGGCTTATTTGTTCGCAGTTCTCGTTCCCCGCCTCTCCGGCAGATGTACTCCGACTTCGGGGGAAGACGTCAAGCCTGTTTCTAGGTTGACTGTGGCCATTGTTTTGTGTGGGTCGAGATGTTGCCTCATTTGTGTGGTGTCCTCTTTGACCTTTAACAGGTGTGGCCCCCGGAATGTCGTCCTTGAGGCAGCTCTATGTAGAATTGTCAGCCCTCAAGGAAAGGCAGGGGCAGATCATGGGCATTCCCTGCCATCCAAGGAGGCTTCCATAAATGCAGAGCCGACACATGATGCTCTGGTTCTGGGCTCACCCAAGGAATCGTCACGTCCTGCCCATAACTGCTTAACCTCACAACCGTGTATTGAGCTTCCCGCGCTACAAGGCTGCGCTCTCCGGAGATCAGCGGGGAGCAGCCCGCAGGTCTAGGACGTTTGTGGCCACACAAATAGGTACATTCTTTTTCATCTTACTTAAGACACCTTTAACGTTGTTTCAGCTGTGCCCTTAGCACGACAGAATGGGGAAGCAAGATGCGTCAGGCGTGCTTCACCTGTTTGGTCCCAACACTCGGGCGAGTTGGACCAGTGGATACGGACATTCAGACTTTTTCTTAATCGGTACGAATTATGATCATCGGACTTTGAGCTTGCATGTGTGCCGTGGGGTATAACTTTGTCGGACATTATTTCCAAGCTAACATATGAAAAGTTGCTGCCGTGGTGTACCTCAGCGCGGTGACGACGACACTGAGGATTGAGGATGTACGTAGGTAGGATCTTACTGCGAGAAGTCGCCCACAAGAGATGTTACTCGTCTTGGCTGCGGGTAAATCTCTCGGTCAGGGTTGAGTCTCAGCAGCACAGTTTTCCATTCGCTCCCGAATTTTAAACAAGAATTGTTATTTGATGGTACATTTAGCAAGCAATTCTTGAGTTTTGTTAGACTTTTCACCCATGCGTTTGGGGGCGGGCTGGTGAGAGCCAGAAAGGACACTACACCTCTAGGGGCCGCCAGCTCCGAGATCCCCTGCCAACTCTGTTAATGCTCATTGAGACATTATCCGTGGCGCACGACGGGGACGTGCAGCAGGAGTCTTGCATGAGGTTCCGTAAAACCAGAACAGTGAAGGACTGGCGCCCGAGTGGGGTATGGAGTATCTCCTTATACACCTCACATCAGACTTAACTTTGCCTCATGCCTGTGACCGAAATCACCGCGCCACTTTACTTGTTCAAAACACTGCTATCCATTTCTAAGAATTCACATGCCTCCTCTCATCAGTTATGCATCAGTTATGCATACGATTTTTGTATGACATCAAGTTAAAATCCGAATTTCTGACACATCTGATGGAAACAGAGATAATCTGATTGAAATCTTTTGTTCGACTTCATCCTAACCTATATTATCGGCAATAGGTTTGGCAAAATCATTATTAATCATAATATCAAGACTGTTGTCACTGTCTGGCTGAGATTCATCAACAACAGAGTAGTATGAACAGTTCTAGACCTTTTCCTTTATCATTTAGTCTGAAAAAAATCACATAAAAATTGTATCACAATTAATTATAAGCAAATCAGATATGACCGAAACATGATGCCAAACTTCAAAAACAAAAGGACATCATTTCACTGATTCTAGTTTCTCAGAACATGTTCACAGAAATCCTGTTCCCAGGAAATGAAACAATATTAGAGTGTCTCTATGAGGAGCCATTATAGTAGCGAATGGTCTGAATGTGATGGATTCAAAAACCACCAAAGTGGAGCCTGGTCTGTAAAGAGTTAATAATAATGTTCTTTATGTACATGATTTTAATTGAGTAGATTTTTCAGTTGTCTTGCCTACATGATGTTAAGCCAGTGTTGTCTTGATTGTCCCCAGCGTGGTTCGTGAGATGTTGAAGCATAATGTCAATCTTGTCTGTGATCAAGATGAAAATTCTAACACTCCTTTGCACTTGGCTGCACAGTACGGACATAGCAGGGTGGCCCAAGTACTGTTGCACTTCGGGGCCGATGTTTCTGCCAGGTATTTTCCTAGTTTTTCATCTTTTTCAGAAAGCAGTTAACAACAACTAGCCAACCACAACCTTTATTAACAGTTGAATTGAGAAAAAAAATGGCCTCACAAGGGCCGCCTTTACTTCCTGGGACTGCGCCCGGTACCCACTCAATGCCGGGTCGACCTGGGAGTCAAGGTCATTTTTGGAAAAAGTCTGGCTCTGCCAGAGAGCGAACCCACCACCTTCCAATCCGCACATAAGCATCTAGCTGCTACGCCACAGTGACTTCCGATCAGTATATTAGGAAGCATTAAACACAAATCATTTGTACTGAAATACACAAATCATATTGTTTTCTTTAGTTACACTGTACATCTCCTGACCAGAAGTTTAAGATAGTCACCACAGAAGTTTGATCTTTACCACATATTCTTTTTGTTTGCAAGTGCATGATAAATTTGTTGGTCATATCTTCTTCTTCTTCTTCACTTCCTCTTTTATCGCTGTGGGTGTCGAGGGAGATATAAGGTTCTGTTTCTAGCTCTTCTGGCCGCCTCGACCATAGGCACATCGTGCTGTTGTAGAGTTTCCATCTTGTTCTTGGTCTACCCCGTGCTCTACGTCCTTCTTCTCTTTCCATGTATGCTTTGTATGGTATGGTGTCACAAGGCATTCTCTCTAAGTGGGCAAACCATTTCACTTGCTGTCTTCGTATGTAATCCAGAATTGGTTCTGTGCCGACTTTTTCTGTTATGATCTCATTCCTGATCTTATCTCTTATGGTCACTCCTACAGCCCTTCTCAGACATCTCATTTCTGTGGTACTAATTTTCTTTTATGATTTGTTGTGAGTGACCATGTCTGGCACTGGTAGCACAGAGTTGGAATAAATATGCTTTGAATAAGATGTCTCTTTGTGCTGATTGGGATTGTCTTATGCTGTAAGAGGGGAGCTAGCTTTCCCAATACTTGGTTTGCTTTACTGAATCTAATGTTAATTTCTTTATCCAGTTTTCCATCTTTGGTAAATGTAGTTCCGAGATATTAAAACTCAGATGCCTGTTTAATGCCTTTACACTCTATTGCTATGTTTAAATCTGTCTTCTTTTTTCCTATTGACATTACTTCTGTCTTTTCAGTGTTGATTCTCATATTATTTGTTTTACATTCTTCATTCATGGATGTTAGATGTTGTTGCAATTTCATGGCTGTATCTGCTATCAAGGCCTGGTCATCTGCAAAGAGTAATTCGTTGATCTTACTAACATTTTCATTCATGGGCTTGGCATTCTTGCATATACTGTCGATGTAGGTGATAAACAGCAGTGGTGATAAGACACACCCTTGTCTTACTCCAGATGTCACTGTGAATGGATGAGATGTTCCCTGATTTATTCTAACTACACTTCTACAATCCCTGTATAAACTTTTGCACACTTCGATGAGGTGTTCGCTTACTCCATATCTTGCCATTACTTTCCTTAATAATTGTCTGTCGACTCTGTCAAATGCCTTCTCCTGGTCTACGAATGCCACAAATAAGTTCTTATTGTATTCAAGTTGGTCATATAACTCTCATTTTCTGCTTGTCAAGTACAGAAACTACAACCGATGGACACCTCTGGATTTGGCAGCTTCTAAAGGATGGACTCGCACTTGCCAGATTCTGTTGGAAGGATATGCTCCAGTTGATTCTGTTGACAAAAACAAGGTTAGCTGACTTTTCGTAATCTTAGTTTCAGCTTCATAGCAAACAGGTTACCCCAGAGTTGCTTTGCTCCTGTGCCACACACAAAAAACGGAATGTTTATCACTGTCTCTTGTGGAAAATTAACACAGACTGCACATCCACTAGCATACTCACGCAGTAAAAGCATAAGGCAGCCATCTGAAGTGCTAAAACAAACAGTCCAACATTAGAAATGCAGTTCATAATCAATGGCAGCAGCAATTGGAAACAGATCAGCAGTTGCACATGCAATCAATTTTGATCTCATAAGGCATCACCAATACTGTGTCAACAGGCCACACACCATTTTCTGAATCTACAGTCCACAACATGATGTTGGTCACAGTTTAAAAAAACATCCAGCATGGTTGACTTTTGCCAGATGTTTGCAAGCTGAAGATAATCCTATGGCAGAGATTACACTGACATGCTCAGTGATTGGAAATGCCTTCTCTGTGACTTCTATCAGCATGACAGTGGGGGTGATGGTGGTAGCACAAGCTTTCCTGTGGCTGAATCACTAACTGTTCCTACGTATGTGTGCTGAGTGATTCTTTGAGCATAATCTGGCGGGTTAAGGCAGCATGTGTAAGCAGATAGTAGATTGAGTCATTACATTACTTCACGTTCAGTTACCTTCATCTTTGTCCCAGGGCATATGGGTGTTGTTGGCAATGAGGGAGCTGTTAGATTGACCAGTTCTGCCTTAACTGCAGATGGCTGACCTATGGATTATGTCAACATTATTAATCCCCTAAGAGAAATAGGACAATCAGAGGATCTTGGGAACATTGTATCCACATCGCGGTTAAGAATGCAAGAATTGGGATTAAAGATCTGCACAGCCAGGCATGAAAGACACACCGGATGTAAAGAAGTTTACTTAACCAGCATAGCACTGGCACTGTTAGTCATGGGACATTGATGTAAATGTTGAATGGAGAACCTGAACACCAATGGGCATGTACAGAGTTCTGGGAAGATATCCTAACTCATAACTAGTAACTCATTATGAAATTAAAAGACCAGTTTCCCTCTTCACCAACTTTCCTAAAATCTCTAGTAGTGTACTGATTTCATTTGCAGTTAGAAGTGTTTAAAGGCGAGAGGATTAGCTTCATTGCACCTGGTTTGTCCCATATGGCTCGGTCTCTCTCTGCAGCAGAGTGGCTGAAAGTGATGCACAAATTATAAGTTCTGTAGTCCCTGTGGGATTTCATAAATATTGCGCTTATGAACTAAAGGATAGTATTAGAATTGATGATAAGACCTTTTACAAAAGATATAAAACCGAACGAAAAGTATATTAGCAAGCTTCACAATATAACAAATACAAGCGAAATGTGAAAATTGCGGCTGTGGAGCTTTGCCCTAATGCATGACAGCATGGTTTTTGCTTTTTGGCTGAGATCATCTTGTTTTGTTGACCACTTCTTTGTTTTACATACAGATTGTTTGAGTTCTTTTCTTCTGATTTGCCCTTAAAATGGCAGTTGGTATGTTGTGTTGTGGTTTAAGGTAAGGTAGACTGTGATATCTAGGCCTTATTCTTAGTCTTAGTCGAGATTTCAGCTTCACTGCAATCAGGTTTCCCCATACTTGTTCCATTCCTGTGCCAGTGAAAATAAAATGTAATGTCCCGCACTGTTGCATTTGAAAAACTGGAAAACAAACAATTAGCCCCAGAACAATCCAGAAATATGTGCATGCAGTAAATGCACATTTTAGTTGCCAGAGACGCCAAAAGCTAATAGTCGCCACCAGAAATGCAGTTGGACGTTGATGGAAGTAGTTGGCACAACAAGTTAGCCATACATACGTAAAATTACTACATAAGGTATTCTACCAACTGACACGTAAATCGGCTACCAGTCATATTGAACACCATGACACAACCGCTGCACAATTGAAAGGCATTCCACATGAAAAACACAGCTCACAGTACTGCACCAAGCACTAAACTCGGTAGCTTAGGCAGCAAAACCGTAGACTACCATCCACATGTGGAAACTGCACTAGCAGGGTGCCATCGGAGGCAAAAACAACCCCGAAGCGTAACATTCTACCATGCCTCTGCCATTTTAGGCCCAACACCTTCAGTTTCAGCAAACTTGTAATTAGCACTTTATTACATGCTTATAAAGGCATTGTGTCTATCACCCCCACCCACCCCCCTTCCGAGCCCCTTTCCAAATTGGGCTCCGGAACCCACGGGGTGGGGGGGGGGCATTGGATGTAAAACTGAAAACCATACACATAGACTGACTTGATGTTCTCTGTGACATTTTTACAACTGACAGAGTTAATGTATTATGATTATTAGATCACACCCCTTCACCTGGCCTCTGGCTGTGGCCACGCTGCGGTGGTGGAGCTGCTGCTGAAGTGGGATGCTGATGTCACCCTACAAGATGACCATGGCAAGAACAGCTTAGACAGAGCTATTGATGGCAATCATGAGTGAGTCTCCTACCGTTTGATGGGAAGATTTCTGCTGTCTGTCAGTGTCATCACCATTCATTGTTGTCATCATCTTTGTTGTCATCATTATCATTGTTGTCATCATCATCATCATCTTCATCACCATCATTGTGATGATGATCATCATCATAATCATCTTCATCATCAATGTCATCATCATTATTGTAATCATCATGATGATAGGTCTCACTAATCACTAATAGAAATTATTCTGAGGTACTTAAAGTATTACAAATAATTACATAGGCAATAATTTTTCTTTAACTCTTTCAGGCCCATGAATTTTGACAGACTTGGCCCAAATTAATTTCTCTTTACAAAAATGGCAGAGGGGTGGGTGCACAAGAAAGGCTATAGAGATTGTAATATACTTCTAATCCCTATAAAAAAATATATTTTTTAAAAGAGAAATGAATGTACATTTTGAATCCGATGATAAGTGTTTGTTTAATTTTGTTATAGTAAGTGGGAAAGAAGAATTCAGCAGGTGTTGATTTCACAAGGACAACATTTCACCAAAAAATTCTTCACTTACCACGGTTTTGCAGCCACAAGAGTAGTAAATATCCAAATTTGAAAACAACACTTCAAAGTTTGTTCAATTTCCTAACATATTCCAAAGTTATAATAACTTTCTGGGTAAGTTTAGCACTCTGGAGCTCTTAGTTCTCACAGAGTGCTGAGCAAAATTTCAGATGAAAAATGACAGAAAAATAAGCCATTACACACACATTATTTACTATTTACTTTGTACAGTTATTAATAGACTGAACCTGCTATGATTTTAGTGTAGCTTAGCCATAGTATAGTACTGTCTCTTTGTTTAGAGCACTTTCCTTCTCTTACACCATAATTACGGTAGTATGGGACATGGTTTGTGTAATAAACTCATCAGAATCGCTAGACTCGGAACAGCTGATCGCTCAGCTTCACTAGTGAAAATTCACCGTCCGAATCACTTTCCGAAAAATCTAAATTTTTATTATCATTATCACAATTAAGAACATCTGACTGAAACAATTTCAGAGCTTCGGCCGCAGAAAGACGCATTCTGCGACCTGTACTTGTAGTTGGAACATTGGTATTCATGGCACTCAAAAACGAACTTAGAAAATGAACTGCTAAAAAAAATTTCGCTGTTGTTTTCTCTCAAATTATCCACGTGTGGTTTAGTCCAGGAGATGAAACTAAAAGGACTTCGGCAGAGTGACTTTCCCTGAATAGTTTAATCGTACCTCCAAACATTAGAAACTAGTACGAAGTCGCGTGCGAAGCAAAATGTAAGGGACATACGATTGACTATGACACTGTTGTTTGGGCAAAAGGGAACCCTCTCAAACAACGCTCACACCATAGTTTGGGCCTCAAAGAGTTAAGAAGCTGAACCAAAATATAAAAGAAGCACCTCACCGTGTGGTCTGTGTGCTGACCTTCATGTGAAAGACCCACTTTCAGTCCTCAATGAGGGATACAGATTTTTTTGTCGGGGGCCCCCCCCCAAAAAAAATCCTAACCTGCTCAGTTTGTAGCAACTACACTAGCCGTGTTGCCTTAGAAATCGTCAACCTCTAAATACCACAGAAATGGCAAATACAGTCAGTAAAGACAGTTATCCAAACCATAAATCTGGCTGGCTAGTGCAGTTGGTTGAACCTGACTGAACCTGACTGAGCGGCGACTGGGTGACGAACTCATTGTGGTCCGGGCTCACGCCGGGGAGCAGGCAGAAAATCCACATTTCTCCCAGATTTACAGTATCTGTCATGGAATCAAGGCCAAAGGGTTGCAAAATCTATAGTACCGGGCCAAAGGGTTAACATCTCATGGTTTCTGGATATTTGAAGGAAAAAAAAACCACAGACTGGTATTTACAGGGAAGAGATTATATCATAAGTTCTTTGGAAGGAATAGCCACCAGAGTGGCAACACCAACAATTTCTTTATCAGTGATCATATTGTAAACATCTACATATTGTAAAATATCTGCATGTTGTAACATCATCATATTGTAAAATTGTCTAAATGTAAAATTACCTACATGTACAACTCATCTGCATAATGTAAAATTTGCATGTTGTAAAATCATCTTAATATTGTAAAAAAACCTTCATGTAAAATCATCTATGTAAAGTGGTATTATCTACATGTTGTAAAATCATCTGCATAATGTAAAATTATCTGCATATTGTAAAAAAATCTACATAATGTAAAATATGCATCTTGTAAAGTGATCTACACAATGTAGTTATCTATAGGCATCTAAAAAATGTGAAACTATCTACATATTGTAAAATCATCTACAAATGTGAAATTGTCTACATGTCATAAAGGTATCTACATAATGTAAAATCATCTACACAATGTAAAATTATCTATATGTAAAATCATCTACATAATGTAAAATTATCTATATGCAAAATCATCTACAAAATGTGAAATTATCTACATGTTGTAAAATCATCTGCATCATCCAGGGCAGTTGCTAGGGTGCTTGTCAGCTCCAAAGTCTGGAAAGAAGCTCTACGGAATGTGACAGTTGACCCGGTAACTGGCTGTGTTGTAACCCCGATGCGCAAGCTCATTAAAAAAATGCCAGGTTTGTGCATACTTTCTGTGCTATGTTTTTTTTTAAAATGGTGCCATCTTGACAATAGTGGTTGGCAATGTATCCACTGTGGGAGTTTTATGTGGTGAAACCCTAATCTGTCTCTTCCTTGGTGTGACTCTCATACCACCACCTGGAAGCAACGTGTATTTTTCTTAACCACCTGCTGAGGCAATTGAACCCTTGTAAACACCAAGTATTCTCTGCATGTTTTATGTTGTGTTATCACAGTCATCATTACTGAACATTTTATATTATGTTATCAGAGTCAACATACTGCACATTTTATATTATCACAGTCAGCATTTATGCACTTTTTTTGTTCTGTGATCATAATCAGCATTACTGCATATTTGATATTGTGTTATTAAAATCAACATCACTGCATGTTTTTTGTTGTGTTATGACAGTCAAAGTTACTGTGCATTTTGTGTTAGGTTATCACAATGAACATTTATGCTAATAAAATGTGTAATCACACTCAGCATCACTGCACATGTTATGTTTTCACACTCAGCATCACTGCACATGTTATGTTTTCACACTCAGCATCACTGCACATGTTATGTTTTCACACTCAGCATCACTGCACATGTCATGTTATGTTTTCACACTCAGCATCACTGCACATGTCATGTTATGTTTTCACACTCAGCATCACTGCACATGTCATTCTATGTTTTCACACTCAGCATCACTGCACATGTCATGTTATGTTATTACACTCAGCATCACTGCACATGTCATGTTATGTTATTACACTCAGCATCACTGCACATGTTATGTTATTACACTCAGCATCACTGCACATGTCATGTTATGTTATTACACTCAGCATCACTGCACATGTCATGTTATGTTATTACACTCAGCATCACTGCACATGTCATGTTATGTTATCACACTGAGCATCACTGCACATGTCCTGTTATGTTATCACACTCATCATTACTTCACATGTCCTTTTGTGTTATCACACTCAGCATCACTGCACATGACCTGTTATGTTATCACACTCAGTATCCCCAAATGCCACAGATTGAAATGGTTTGACCACTTAATGAGAATGAATCCAGCAATGCTGGCAACAAGAGGATGTGACATGACAATGGAAACAAGAGGCAGAGAGAGAGAGAGACCTAGAGAATAACGGATTAAAAGAGTCACTGACAACTTAAGACTTCACAACATCACAGCATATCAAGCAACCAAATGCGCCTTGGCTCAGCTAACTATCATCTGTTGAACTATGATGGCTAGCAGCACAAAGCAGATATTTGACAGAAGAAGACAGTTGAGTTAGGAACTGATATCGCATTACTCAAGACATTCCTTTCAGTGCTCAATCCTTACTTTCAGCAACCAAGGAAGAGTTCTAGTAACAGCTTTATTATTTGTCCATTTTGCCTTTCCCCTGAGTGTAGAGTGTCGGCCAGATCCCCAGGTAACTTCTAGCTTTACCTTTCTCTCCAGACCCTAGTGATCTACTTGTGCTTATGCATTGTTCACTTGTTCCCAAAGGGCTGACAACCTATAGCTTGTCAGGCATCACTCCACCACCCAGTTTTACAGAACCAACCAGTCTGTCTCCCTTTTCATTTCCCAGCACACTTTCATGTTCTGGAGAAATAATCTAAAAGATGCTGACTACTAGACCATTAGAGGCACGTTGGACATAAAAATACAAGGAGGCAAACGAATCTGCTAGGGACCAAGGTTCTTTCTATTGGGCTGTGTCATTCTGTAGACTAAACAGATTCGGGCAAATTAAGAGGTAAGGAAAGGATAGTGGCACTGAATAGAACACACATCCTGGAAGAGGAGCCAGGATTTGACTAATACAGTGGTGACACACATGGCATTAAACACAATGGGCATGACAGTTCACGAGGTAGTTGAATTGTCAAGGGACTGCATGTCGTTCCAATGGGTCAATAGATTCTACAAACTAAACAAATTTCAGCAAATTAACAGTGAAGAAAATATAGATATAGGGTTAGTGAATCAGTCAGGCACCATCTGCACAGTGAAGTTTGGCTGCAGTGGATTTCTGTCTTTTGTCTTGGCTGTTCACATCTGGCAGAAGTTGCTGAGACAGTTTCCGATAGATGTCTCTGTTGGGACAAGAGCGAAAACCAGGAAACATATTTTTGACAGCCTTTCCACATCTGTTTGTCGGATTTCTGTGGTAAAAGTTGTGAAATGTATCCATTTCTTAAGCATTAGTTGACAAATCGACTCTGCTTTCTAGCAGAAGTTGTCACATCTGTTTTTCTATTTGTCAGACTGAAGTTGCTACATGTGTTTGTTCATTTCTCTGGCAGAAGTTGCCCAGACAGTTTTTGACAGATGTATATGTTATGGACAAGAGCAGAACCCAGACAACATTGATTACGAGCTGACATTCAATTATGAGTTTCTTGATGATGTGTACGCAAGGTGGATTCAGGATGGACTGATGAATTCTGTTCACGACAGAAAATCTGACTGTGCCTCAAGTGCAGGTGAGTGAGACAGTTGGATTGTCGGGTCCAAAAAGTTGAGTTTTCTTGTGATAATATTTATGTTCCTGTAAGTTTGTGGGTTTGTTGTTTTAGTCTAATGTCTATGAGACCATTGTCTGTGAATTTATTGTTGTTTTAATGTCAGTTTGTTGTTTTAGTCAAATAGCTGTGTGTTTGTTGACTGTGAGTTTGTTTATTTTAGTCTAATTTCTTTGTGTCTGTTGTTTGGTCTAATGTCTGTGAGTCAGTTATCTGTGAATTTGTTGTTGTTTTAGTCTAACGTCTTTAAGTTAATTGTTGGTGAGTATGTTTTAGTTTTGTCTGCAAGTCATTGTTTTTGTTTTAGTGCAATGTCTGTGAGTTTATTGTTGGGGAATCCTTTCTCTACCACCTGTAATCGAGCCCCAGCTAAGTGGAGCACAACCAAGATTTAGGAAAAACATGGGATGCATAGATCTTTGCTGTCCGACAGCTTATAAAGAAATCAAGTGAATTTAACGAAACACTCTGTTTAGCCTTCATTGACCAAGAAAAAGCATTTTACAGAGTAGATAGGAACAAACTACGGTGAATCTTGAAAAGTTACAATGTGAACCCGCATTTAATAAGCACATGTAGAACCGTGTATAACAAAAGGCAGTGTACTGTTAGAACAAATGGAGGACAGTCTGACCCATTTACCATAAAATCTGAAGTACCTCAGGGCTGTGTCCAGTTTCCCCTTCTTTCCATCTTACATTGATAATATCTGTAGAGAAAACTGTGAGTCTGTTGTTGTTGTTTTTGTCTATAGTCTGTGATCAAAACAAGGACTATAATATACCAAGAAGAAGAAGATCAAAAGCTGAACAGTTCCATCAAAGAACTACTATTTGTGGATGACCAGACACCGATGCTACTTCAGAAACTGAACTGCAAGACTTTATGAATTATTTAAAGTAAATTTGCTAACAGCATAACATGAAAATTTACACCAACAAAACAGAGTTCATGACCATAGCCAAAGAAAACAACAAAATATCCAGCTTACAGAAAATCCTCTGAAACAAACTAAAAACTTCAAATACTTAGGAAGTATAATATCATCAGCTGGCAAAACAGAATATGAAACATTACAGATGTAACAAAATAAACCAACTCATTGGGCAAATGGCACCAATACTAAGGAACAAACATATATCAGTAGAAACCAAAAGAGCACTTTATAACAGTCTTTTTGCCAGCACTGTGTCATCAATGTGAGACCTGGACAATGACGGAAAGAGAGAAAAGAAAAATTACAACTGAAATTATTCCTGTGAAGGGCTCTCAATGTAACAAGATGAAATAAGATCAGAAATGATGAAATCTGAAGGAAAATGGGAGTAATAGCAGCTCTGGATTTAATACAAGACAACAGGTGAAATGGTTTGGCCAAATAACAGGGATGTCAGCAAGCAATGATGTACAGACCAGATGGGAAGCGAACAAGAGGTCGAAATGCAAGTGATGGACCGAGAGAATTACACAGTCCCTGCAAATCCCCATTTATAAAGCACACAAACAGACGCTTTTTTTTCTGTCAATTATATTACACCTCGACACCACAAAATACACGAGGATCCAGATAAGATGCGAGTCTCTTCTTACTTTAGTCCAATGTCTGTGAATCTGTTGCTGTTTTAGTCTAATGTCTGTAAATCTGTAGTCTGTGAGTGTTGTTGTTTTAGTCAAATGTCCCTGAGCTCTGTTGTCTGTGAGTCTCTTGTTGTTTTAGTCTAATTATTCTGATTTTGTTGTTTCTTTTGTCTAATGTCTGTGAGATTGTTGTTGCTGAGTCTGTTATTGCTTTAGTCTTATGTCTGTGAGTTTGTCGACTGTGCATCTGTTGTTGTTTTAGTTAACAACAGATCATAAAGACAGTAATATATCATAATAGATCATCAAGACAACATATCAATATCAGATCACCAAAACAACATAGTATTTTTTTAGTCTCATGTCTATAAGTTTTTTGAATGTGAGTCTGCTTATGTTTCAATCCAATGTTAGTCAGCTTGATGTTGTTTTAGTCTAATGTCTGTGAGTCTGTTGTTTTTTAGTCTAATGTCTGTGAGTCTGTTGTTGTTTTAGTCTCATGTCTGTGAGTCTGTTGTTGTTTTAGTCTCATGTCTGTGAGTCTGTTGTTGTTTTAGTCTAATGTCTGTGAGTCTGTTGTTGTTTTAGTCTAACGTCTGTGAGTCTGGTGTTGTTGTTGTTGTTGTTTGTGTCTATAGTCTGTGATTTTGTTGTTTTTGTCTGATGTCTTTGAGTTTGCTGTTGGTGAAACCGTTATTTTTTTAGTCTAACGTCTGTGAGTCTGTTGTTGTTTTAGTCTAATGTCTGTGAGTCTGTTGTTGTTTTAGTCTAATGTCTGTGAGTCTGTTGTTGTTTTAGTCTAATGTCTGTGAGTCTGTTGTTGTTTTAGTCTAATGTCTGTGAGTCTGTTGTTTTTTAGTCTAAGGACTGTGAGTCTGTTGTTGTTTTAGTCTAATGTCTGTGAGTCTGTTGTTGTTTTAGTCTAATGTCTGTGAGTCTGTTGTTGTTTTAGTCTAATGTCTGTGAGTCTGGTGTTGTTGTTGTTGTTTTTGTCTATAGTCTGTGATTTTGTTGTTTTTATCTGATGTCTTTGAGTTTGCTGTTGGTGAAACCGTTATTTTTTTAGTCTAATGTCTGTGAGTCTGTTGTTGTTTTAGTCTAATGTCTGTGAGTCTGTTGTTGTTTTAGTCTTATGTCTGTGAGTCTGTTGTTGTTTTAGTCTAATGTCTGTGAGCCTGTTGTTGTTTTAGTCTAATGTCTGTGAGTCTGTTATTGTTTTAGTCTAATGTCTGTGAGTCTGTTGATTTTTAGTCTAAGGTCTGTGAGTCTGTTGTTGTTTAAGTCTAATGTCTGTGAGTCTGTTATTGTTTTAGTCTAATGTCTGTGAGTCTGATGTTGTTGTTGTTGTTTTTGTCTATAGTCTGTGATTTTGTTGTTTTTGTCTGATATCTTTGAGTTTGCTGTTGGTGAAACCGTTATTTTTTTAGTCTAACATCTGTAAGTCTGTTGTTGTTTTAGTCTAATGTCTGTGAGTCTGTTGTTGTTTTAGTCTAATGTCTGTGAGTCTGTTGTTGTTTTAGTCTAATGTCTGTGAGTCTGTTGTTGTTTTAGTCTAATGTCTGTGAGTATGTTATTGTTTAAGCCTAATGTCTGTGAGTCTGTTATTGTTTTAGTCTAATGTCTGTGAGTCTGGTGTTGTTGTTGTTGTTTTTGTCTATAGTCTGTGATTTTGTTGTTTTTGTCTGATGTCTTTGAGTTTGCTGTTGGTGAAACCGTTTTTTTTTTAGTCTAATGTCTGTGAGTCTGTTGTTGTTTAAGTCTAATGTCTGTGAGTCTGTTATTGTTTTAGTCTAATGTCTGTGAGTCTGTTTTGTTTTAGTCTAATGTCTGTGAGTCTGGTGTTGTTGTTGTTGTTTTTGTCTATAGTCTGCGATTTTGTTGTTTTTGTCTGATGTCTTTGAGTTTGCTGTTGGTGAAACCGTTATTTTTTTAGTCTAATGTCTGTGAGTTGGTTGTTGTTTTAATCTAATGTCTGTGATTTTGTTGCTGCTTTAGTCTAATGTCTGTGAGTTTGTTAGCATTTTAGTTAATGCCTGTGAATTGTTGTTGTTTTAGTCTAATGTCTGTGAATTTTTTATTGTTTTAGTCTGATATCTTTGAATAATTTTTGGTGTGCCCTTACTCCTACATCTGACATATGTTAGTCTATCTACACTTGTGTTCTTTTCTTGCTTATATGTTGACACTGAACTATTCCCCAATTGACATATCTATTATCAGTAAGTTTGTCACCCTCCTCAGGCAGCTTATACGGAGGCCATGATGAGGAGGGACTATCTCTAGATGCCAAGCCATACTCTGATGATCCAAATGTACTCAAGAACAATCATCCTCTTTATATTATGGTGAGATAGCATGTTTGGTTAATTTTTACAATGATTGTGAAATAGATGTTTAATTTAGACGTTTCAATAACTATGAGATAGATGATTAATGCAATTTTTTTAATGATTGTGCGATAAATGTTTGATTCAGTATTTTCAGTAGTTGCGAGATAGAATTTTATTTCAATCTTTATTTATACTATGGTTGGAAAAATTTTGTTTTTATTAAAGTTTTCCATTCCAGTGATTTGAGATGGAACTTTGAATCACTTTTTTGATTATATGGTCATGGTAAATATATTTTTTCTTTTTGCTCTGCCCTAATTCAATATAGGACACTTAGCAGGTTGCATTGTGGTTTACAGCTAGACTGCCAAATCTAGGCCTTTCTGCCCACCACCTCCAATTTAGCAAACCCTAATTAATTATCTTTTGTGACACTCTTGTTAGATGGCATTAGGTCTGTTCTTTTCTGCCCCAAAATGAAACGCTGGAACCCACGCCGAGAGAACTTACTGTTTGATAGTCACTTCTAAATTAAGGTAATTTAGTTTTTTTATCGAAATTTCCATCACTGTTCTACGATAAATATGTTTCAGCTGAATGTTTTAACTCCTACCTTTTCATCATCAGCTTGATTTTATTATTTGTAGTTGTGTTTAAAAAACAGATGTTGAAATGTTTCAGATTGTGTCTGAGAGAGAGAAGCTGCTAGCTCATCCCTTGGTCACATCACTGCTCATGCATAAATGGAACACCTTTGGCAGGTTTTTCTACTACCTGTCCTTTTTCATCTACGTTATCTTCCTCACATTCCTCACCTCGTACATGGCAACAACGGATCCCCCACATCTATAGTAAGTTCTTTCTTTATACACTGATTCTTTATTCGAGGTTTTTTTGTTGTTGTTGTTGTTGTTGGTTAGTTTGTGAATAAGGGTTAAAATGTTAAACTAAACCCTTTTCTATACCAGGAATGAAATTTTGATGTTGATGATATATTGTCTTGATTATCTATTGCTGATATGTTGCTGTCTTGATGATTTTTTGTTGATATGTTTTCTAGGTGATCTGTTGTTGATAGGTTTTCTAGGTGATCTGTTGTTGATAGGTTGTCTTGGTGATCTGTTATGGATATATTGTCTTGGTGATCTGTTGTTAATATGTTGTCTTGGTTATCTGTTGTTGATATATTGTTTTGATGATCTGTTGTTATGTTGTCTAGATGATTTATTACTGATATGTTGCTGTCTTGGTGATCTGTTGTTGATATGTCATCTTGATGATCTGGTGTTGATTCGTTGTCTTGGTGATTTATTGCTTATATGTTGCTGACTTGGTGATCTCCTATTTTGTCTTGTTGATCTGTTATCTTGGTGATCTGCTGTTGATATGTTGTCTTAGTGATCTATTATTGATATATTGTTGTTTTGATGATCTGTTGTTAATATGTTGTCTTGACGATATGTCATCTTGATCTGTTGTTGGTATGTTGTCTTGCTGATCTTTTATTAATTTGTCGTTTTAATGTTATCTTGATATGTTGTTAATATGTTGCTGTAATGTTTATCAAATGATGTTGGTAATTTGTTGACATATTGCCTTGATGTTGGTGATCTGTTATTGACATGTTGCCTTGATGTCATCTGATATGACCTGATGTTGGTGATTGTCCTCAGTGGCAGCGATGGCATCCTGATCGAAGATAACCAGTGTGCCAACCTCACGAAGCAGTACGAACAACCGCTGTGTGCAAGCATTGGTACTTACGTCATTATAGCCCTGGCTGGATTCAACCTGCTGAAAGAGGTACACCTAACTTCATGTACTTCATTAACATTGTATGCCAGTTCTAGTGGACCAGGAGATAAAGAAAAGACACTGACGTTGGATAGGACAAACGTTGACAGAACCTGAGAACAATATAACTAGAATGTCTTTGCACTGGAACCCACAGGGGCATAGAAATAAAGGTAGACTAAAAAAAAAACATTGAGAGGAGAGATAAGAGAGAAGTTTAAAAGATCGGGAGGACATGGAGAGAGCTGCATGCAATAGCGAATGATAGAACGACTTGGCCTGAGTTGTTTGAGGGCCTATGCTCCATTGGGGCCTAGAAAGGCAGAAAAAGAATATTGTACACTGGGATAGGCTAGTGTCAGAGGGAAGGAGCAGGCAGCTGTTGTGGAGGATCAGTTAATTGCTGGAGCAGAAAATGTAAAATAAAGTGAAGGAGACTTTTCACGCCTTTGGTGCATTAGGCATATAGTGCTAGAGCCATATTTTTACTGAACACTTGTGGTCAGCTGCACTATGGTGTAGGTTGACCATGGTTCCTGATATTTCAGGGAAAGTCATTGTTTAGGCGTCCGGCCATCCCGTCGGTACTCTAAATAAGCCCAAATTGTCCCGCTTTATAAAAAATTAAGGAATAAGAGAGAGTAGAACATATGCTTACGTCTGTAGCCCTTATTTTATAGTTTTAGATACTTTTGATGCCTCAGATGTGTTTCATGTCTGAAGCATGTTTTTTCATTCAGGTTAAAAAGCAAATTGTTTCATTTATTTCTTGGCAGTAGTGGTTTGAGTTTCAAACCATTGTCGTGCGAGTGAGGGTGTGGGGGGGGGGGGGGGGGGAGGGGGGGGGGGGCAGATAAACTGACTTGCTTGGGATATCAGCTCAGAATATTAGGGGGATGTCCTATTTAAAGCTCAAGATATTATGGTTACCCTACACTGGTGCCATTATTTCCCAGGACATTTCCTGGTACACCTTTTAGACTATGTCGACCTACAATGATTTAATAGGCTCCACTGTCTCATCATGCTTGTTGGTTCTCCCTCACAAGGGTGGTTTGCTCGTTGTGTTATATTTACAGTGATATCCACATATTTAATTAAAAACCCCTAGTTAATCATCTTTTATGACTTACTTGTTAGGGAGGCACTGGTTCCAATTCCCCCCCCCCCCCCCCAACCACCAAAATGGGCCCTAGAATCATACTGAGAACTCGCCAAGCTATTAAAGCAATCCCATGGAAAACATTACTGTTGTGGTGGGAAGTATGACCCTTGCATAGTCTAAGCCACTACATATTGATGTGGGGTGGCTAATTCTTTTTCTGAGCATGTTTTATGTCTCTAGAAAATTTTGAAAATTATTGGGTTTCAGCTTGATGAGGGTGAATTGATGCCAAGGCTGTACCAGTAGTAATAGTGATGTCTAGGGATTTGAAACTCACTGTATGTGTAAATGAGTGCACTTACTACTGTTCTAGTAATTCCCCCTGGTCTCTGGGTAGTAAGATTGGACACCAGTGTGTATTTTTGCGCACATAAAAAAAATCCCTTGGCAGGTAGAAATCGAAAAGAGTAGCCTAGATTGGAAAAGAAGCAGAAGGAGACCAAGAGAGAAGATGCTGTATAGTTTGACATCATGGTATGGAAGATCATCCGTGTCAGAAATTATTGAAAGTACGCAAGACAGAAAGCTGTGGATAAACATGACTACAAAAGCCACACAACATGGACTATAAGAAGAAGAAGAAATGCCAGTTAGGCTGTTTAGGATAAAAACCTTGATTATAAACTCTTCTTCTACCCTTTTTTTCCCTGAGTAGAGCATAGGCTCCAGCCAACTCATGTGAAATCATCCTGTCTTTTGCTATTGCATGCAGGTCATCCCTATCTTTTTAACTTCATTTTCTAACTTCCTTCTCCACATGTTTTATTTATTTTTTCCCCCGCTATTTCTCTATTGCTTTGGGTTCCAGTTTAAAGACATTGTATTTATACAATTTTAGATTTTCTCAAAATGTGTCCTTTCCCTCACCAGCATCTTTTCCCTCACCTCTTGATTTTCCAGAGATTGTTTTATTAATTTGTAGTGTGTTGGTAAAATGTTTTGTGTTACAAACTAGTTTGATCAAACTGTTGTTGTCTGGCAGCTGTTCCAGATCTACCAGGCAAAGCTCAAGTACATCGGCTTGACAAACATCATAGAATGGATTGTGTATGTGACAGCCTTGCTTCTAGTGATCAGCTTCAACGAATGCCAGAGGGTCACTGGCTACAGGCTGGTGAGTTAATCAGATTCATCAAACACATAAACACTTCCAGGCGTTCTCTTCTTCTTTGTGTTCACTGGCGATTACACTCCTGTGGCAAGTGCTGGTTGTTCTTCCACTTCAGGGCTTAGGTCTTGTTCCAGAACCTGAGTTTTGTGTGCGCATCCACTTTACATATCTTGCTCATTTGTGTGCAGACTGTTGGTTCCTCGCCTCTCAGGGAGATGTAGTCCGATTTTGAAGGAAACCCTATAATGGTCACCTTTTATGACATACTTGTTAGGAATCATTGAGTCTTTTTCCCACGACCTCCCCCACCCCCCTCCTGAACCCATACAGGGATATCTATCTTTCAGTGTTGACTACTAAGGAAGGCAACAGAGCATGTGTGGGAAGGTCCCAGGTACAGTGATGTCAGTTCTTGATTGATTCATTTCTACTTCTTCTTTTCCGACCCCTCCTCCTTCCCCATGCCTCCTCCTTCAGCTGTAATTTTTGTCTGTCCCCATTTCTGTGTCTCTCTCTTTCTCTCTCATTCTCTTTCTCTGTTCTCTCTCTCTCTTTCTTTTTCTCCCTCTTTCTTTCTCCCCCCCCCCTCCCCTGCCGCCCCCCCACCTCTCTCTCTCTCTCTCTCTCTCTCTCTCTCTCTCTCTCTCTCTCTCTCTCTCTCTCTCTCTCTCTCTCTCTCTCTCTCTCTCTCTCTCTCTCTCTCTCTCTCATATTGTTTCTTCTTTTGTCCCCAAGGCAAAGATGGTATTGGAATGACAGTAGATGATTGACAAGATATTTAAGCCTTTATAAACAGATTCATATTTCCAGTTTTCACTATTTGGAAGATAGATTGAGACAGAGAAGTTAACTTCCATAGTAGCCCTATCAGAGGGATACAGCTTAACATTTTCATGTTTCACTATTTGTTGATTTCTGTTTCACTAGTTCACACATTTTAATTATGGTCCTCTCCACCATTCTCCTGTTATTTCTATTTGTTGTCAGTGTTCTTCTTCTTCTGCTTCTTTCTTCCTTCTCCTACTCCTCCTTCTCTTTTTTATTCTTCTTCACTACTCATTTCCTTCTTATTTTCATCCTCCACCTCTTTTTTTTCCTCCTTTCTTCTTTCATAAACCTTTTTTTCCTTCCTTTTGCTCCTCCTACTCTTCCTTCTCTTCATCATCCTCCTTCACCTCCTCATTTCCTTCTTCTTGTCTTCATCCTCCACCTCTTTTTCTCTTTGTTTCTTCTTTCTCTTCTTCCTTCCTCCATCTCATCTTCTTCTTGTTCCTCTTCCTACTCCATCCACTCATGAAGCATATGTACAGAAACAACCACAATGACAGATGTTGTTTTCTATCTGACACCAGGTGTGGCAGTGGAACATGGGAGCCATCTCTGTGTTCCTGGTGTGGATCGATCTGGTGCTCTACATCCAGAAGGTGCCCCAGTTTGGCATCTACGTGGTCATGTTCACAGACATCCTGCGCACATTTAGCCACTTTTTTGTGGTATTTATTTTCTTCATTGTTGCCTTCGCCATGGCCTTCTTTGCTGCTTTCCAGAATAAGGTTGGTTGTCTGATGTGGCTTAGTAGAATTAAGAAAGACAAAAAACATGTTTGTTTTTCTTCTGTCCATTCTGGTGTGGCTTGTTTTAAGAAATAAAATAAAATCTTTCAAGTTAAACACACCACACACAACACAAGACAAGACAAGACTAGATAACACAACACAACACAAGACAACACAAGATCATACAGCAGAGCTGAGTATACACATGACTTTTTTTTCTAATGGTACGCAGTACTGGCACCTGTTTTAGACAAATTGTGGTGAGTAGCAGCATCTTTTTTCTTGAAAAAGTTACCTGAGTACACTTTTTTGACCTACACAATATGTAATTTACAACCATCTGCACATATGAACCATACACCAAAAATCAATTTAAAAAAGTTAATAAAGAAAGATAACCACACTAGTGGGGTCAACAAGTTCCCAGAACTGATGCAATAAAGTACACATGGTTTTTTTTTTCACTTTATGTACAATAGTTTCATGTACATAGATTGCAGTTTTTTGTGCAATTTTTACAACCTTTTTAAATTCAAATAGTGTTTGAAAAATATAAATTTGACTTACAGCCAGTTCGACTTATGACGTGTTAGTCGGAACGGAACTTGTTTGTAATTCAAGGAGATCCTGTATACATAATTTTATTCTATCAGATACCATTTTCAACTCTGCCGAGATCTCTGGTCAAGACGTATGTGATGATGATCGGAGAGTTTGAGTTTGACGACATCTTCAACGATCCCTTGTCCAGCAGTGTCTACTACCCCGAGGTTTCCTACCTGCTGTTTATCATCTTCCTGACCAGCATGAGCATTCTCATCATGAACTTGTTGGTAAGACTTGTTGCTTGTATAAAGTGGGCTGTCATAAGAGAATGATGGGTGGAGGGGGGAGTGTGAGGAAGATAAAGGAGAGAGAGTGTAAAGAGGGGAGGATAGAAGATGAGATAGTGAAAAAAGGGGGGGGGGAGAGAAGGGGCTGACAGAAAAATAAGAATGAAAAAAGAAAGAAAAAAAAAGAAATATACAGCAAGTAAAATGGAAAAAAAAGATCAAAGAAAATAGTCCTACATAACTTCCTTCGAAGTCGGAGTACAGCTGCCCATGAGGCAGGGAAATGAAAAACGGTTGTACACGCAAACATCAGGTCCAGGTGAAAGCCAAAGGTACAAGCGGAC